CTTTCAGGAAGGCCCAGTTAGGATATCCACATTGCTCTAGAGCCTGTTTTGTGTAGGATTTCTCCTTCTGCCTGGCTCCCGAGCTAGTGGGGATGCTGTCTGCTCTGTGATACAGAGTCCTGATGACTCCTAACTTGTGCTCCAAAGGGTGATGGGAGTCAAACTGCAAATACTGGTCTGTGTGTGTGGGTTTGCGGTACACCTCAGTTTGCAAATGTCCTCTATCAGAGACTGAGACCTCACAGTCCAAGAAAGCCAACCTGCCATTTTTTACATCTTCTCGTGTGAACTTGATGTATTTATCCACAGAGTTGATGTGGTCAGTAAAATGTTGGACTTCCTGAGATTTGATTTTAACCCAGGTGTCGTCAACATACCTGAACCAATGACTTGGTGGTGTCCCTGAAAAGGACGTCAAGGCTCTCTTTTCTACCTCCTCCATGTACAGGTTGGCAACAATAGGATAAACTGGAGACCCCATAGCACACCCATGTTTCTGCCTATAATATTGCTCCCCATATGTGAAGTAGGTTGACTGCAGGCACAGTTTCAAGAGTTGACACAGTTGTTCTGTAGAAAGTGTGGTCCTGCTGCTCAGAGTGGTGTCTGATTTTAATTTTAAACTGACCACCTCTACTGCATCATCAACAGGAATGCACGTAAAGAGTGATGTGACATCAAAAGAGACCATTGTTTCATCAGTCTCCATGATGACATCCCTCACCTTATCCACAAAGTCCATGGTGTTCTGTATGTGGTGTTCTGAGCTGCCAACTAAAGGGATGAGTACAGACGCCAGATATTTGGAAACATTGTAAGTGACAGAGTTAATCATACTAACAATTGGTCTTAAAGGTACACCTTGTTTGTGGATTTTAGGTAAACCATACAGACTAGGTGTGGCCTCCCCTGGGTACAGTCTGTGGTACAGAAAACGGTCAATAGCCTTGTCCTGCTCCAAAATTTTCAGGCAATCTATTAACTTTTTCTTGTAACCACTTCCTGGATCTCTTTTCAGAGGTTCATAAGTGTTTAAGTCACTAAGGAGTGTCATAACTTTCTCATGATAGTCTTTCTGGTTCAAAATCACTGTGCACCTTCCTTTGTCTGCTGGGAGAATTATGATGTTTTTGTCCTTGCTAAGAGTGGTGAGTGCATCCCTCTCCTCTCTACTGATGTTGGAAGGTGGTGGTTTGGCATTGCAAAAGAGCAAAAGAGCTCACACTTTGACAAAAATAAATAAAAAATAAAAACTTTTCTGACCCAGACTGAAGACTTTAACCCAGAATCAGACATCAAATTAAACTAAGATAAAATTTAGATCTTGTGCTTCTATGTGTCAAAACTTCAAAAATATTTCTTGAATTATTTATGGGTTAAACGTAAATGTGAGTATTATTTTTTTTGTTTGAAATCACACAAAAAATAACTACAACCATGACAACATAAATCTATCTTTACATTTGTTACATACATACATTTGTTAACATATTTTATTTAATTAAATATCAACATAGATCAGCACATACCTGTCCAAGGTCGCCTTTCACCCAATCACAATGCCACCTCCCCATGACCTTGTACAAATGGAAATGTACTGAAAATGGATGGATGGATTATCACTATATTAAAATATTATTTTACATGTAAATAGTCTTAGATACAAGCCCAGCTCAGCCTTAGAGACAGGGTGAGGAGCTCAGGGTTGAGCTCCTTCACTTTGGAAGAAGTTCATTGATTAGATGCCTCCTAGATGCCTCCCTTTGGAAGTTTTCTGGGTATCTGTATCTCCCACAGACAAGACCCCAGGGCAGACCCAGACCTTTCTGGACAGATTATTTATTCTTGGGATCTCTCAAGAGGAGCTGGATTGTGTCGCTGGGGAAGACATCTGGATTTCTTTCTTAGACCTGTTGCCTTCATGACTCGACCACCAATAAAAAGTAGAAGATGGAGTTTAACTTCTAAATATACACAAATGGCATGAACCCAAGTTCATTTATGCTTAATTTAAACAAAATTTAATTTGCTAATACATTTAAAACATCAGACATTAATATAGATCATGTCTTGGAATCTGACACAACTGCAGAAAAGTTGGTGCAAAATCAAATTAAGGTTAGTAATTAGGTAATAATGATAGTTTTTTTTAAAGTTATTATTATTTTGGTTTATCTTAAGATTTAGAAATGTTTTCTTCAACATAGGACCTGTTTAAAGATGTTCTGAAAGCTAATTGTACATGAGTTAATATTTAAAAGGTAACAACACACTTCCGATGGATTTTATGGTTATTTTTTCTTTATTTTATTGTCTAGCAAGCATTAGAAATGGGCAATAAATGTTAAGAAATAAGGGCAACATTTTCTTACAAGGTGCTGCATTTTGCAAAGGAGTGACACTGGTGACACTGGATTATTGAGCATGAACTTTGTTGATTTTGAACGTTTGACATGATTGCCGACGAGGAAGAGGGCCGACACCGGAGGAGGGGGCGTGCCAGAGACCATTTTAGCACCAATTTAACTGGTTTGTTCCACTTTGGAGTAAGCTGTTGGGGGAAGAATCCGTTTTGTGTTGTGTATTTAATGGACTGATGAAGCCTTCTGGATGGAAGGTGAAACGTTTCAGCACAAACAAACCAAAAAAAAAAAAAAAGAAACTGTCCAGATGACCTGACTGAAAATTGTTGGATCGTATACCTGGATTATTGAGCATGGATTTTGTTAGTGACGCTGGTGCTTTTATTTTGAATGAGCTCACCGGAAGCGCTGCGCTAGCCGCCTAGCTTAACGTTGGTGAAAAAATGTGCATGAAATATTCACATGCACAAGTTACAGATAATAAACCATTTCTTTTTCTTTAAGTGGGTATTTATCCCAGGCAGATAAGCTGTTTGGCAGGAGCCGGTGTTGTCATTCTGTGCCCAGACTCTGTGGGTTTATGACTAAAACATGCCTGAAATTAAAGTCACACCGTTAGGTGAGTACTGTTAGCCGCTAGCTATGATAAGTTAGTTCCGTCAACATTACAGAACATTGTAGAAATGAGTTGAACAAGTTTATGTTTATTTTAAAGAACAGTTGTTTGTGTGTCCTAAATTCACACAGCCTCTGTGTTTGTCCCCTGTTGGTTAGCTGGTATAAACTGGTGTAAAAAGCTTCAAAGTTCATGCTTATGCTGGGGTTAGCCAGGCCTCCTTTTCACGTCTTCAGCTCGTCCAGAATGCTGCTGCTCGGCTTTTAACCGGAACTCGTAGGTCTGAACATATTACACCAGTTCTGTCCTCCCTTCACTGGCTCCCTGTTCGTACTAGGATAGTTGTTAAAATTCTTCTGTTGACCTTCAAATGCTTAAATGGCCTCGCACCCCTTTACCTGTCTGAGCTTCTGGAACCTTACGTTCCCTCTCGGACCCTGAGATCATCCGATCAGCTGCTTTTGGCTGTTCCAAAAACAAGACTGAAGCTCAGAGGAGATCGGGCTTTTTCAGTCATGGGCCCCAAACTCTGGAACAACCTGCCCCCCAACATCAGGCAGGCCACCTCCCTTCCTCACTTCAAATTTCTGCTAAAAACACATCTGTTCTCGTAGGCATTTCACACAGTGTAAATTGATCTAGTGGGTTTTTTTTTTTATCTGTGACCCTATGTTTTAAATGCTTTTTATTAATTCTTCAGTTATTATTATTAGTGTGTTGTATTTTTTTCTCTCTTTAATTTTACTCTCATTGTTGTGTTGTTGTTAAGCACTTTGATAACAGGTTCTGTTTTAAATGTGCTCTATAAATAAAGTTGACTTGACTTATGCTGGTATGAGAAGCTTTGTCTGTATCTTGTTTTTGTGTCCCCTGTCCTCCTGTCCAAGGTGCTGGACAGGATGTGGGCCGCAGCTGCATCCTCGTCTCCATCGGGGGTAAAAACATCATGCTGGACTGCGGGATGCACATGGGATACAACGATGATGTGAGTGAAGAAGAGTAAAACATTACAAAAGTGGCACAAACACCAACAGTCTGCTCGTTGATTTATAATGACAGGGGCTGGAAACTAAACCTCCTTGTTAAAATTACCCTCAGTTTCAGGTAAATATCTAAAATATGGCAGTGAAATTATTAGTGTTTGACAGTTGACAGTTTGTCAAAGACAGGCAGGCTTTATCTGTAATTATCTGTAAAGTTTTAATAGATTTATTGTAAAAAGTATTTATCAGTTTTTGAAATTTACTCCCATCTCTTCAGTTTCTGTTTCCTTAATCACAACTTTAAGGATGACTGCAGTAATAAGGACATTGTATTACTAGATGTACGAGACATTACTTGTCTAAAGATGATTTTTTTTAAATTGGAGATATTTTCTGAAATGTTTCACCCTGCTTTTTGTACAGCCAGAGCCTTAAAACAACAACAACAAAAACACTGAAAATAGAAAATGTTTTTATGTTTGAGAGCAACTTAGGATTGATTCTTGTTTAATAAAAAAAAAAAAAGTACATTTTTTCCCACCACTTAAGGTGAAAGGGGATTTTAGAGCAACTGGCGGCCCAAGGGCCAAATCAGGCCCACAGGTGAGCTCAGTTGGGCCCACCAATGGGTTAATTTTTAAATAAAACTATATTTAAAACTGTAAAACAAACTTACTTAATGACAATTACTGCTGGATGTCTGGCCCCTGAGCTCTAGGCTTTCAGTAACTGTGACCTCTGAGCAGTTTAGTTGAAAAATCTTGTTTTAGAAGTTTTAGACATTTTGTCTGTGTGCGTGTGTTGTTTGTCTGTGGTGTTACCAATATAAACCAACAAACAAATTTTAATTACATTTCCAGAAGTAATAATTCGATGTGCATCTACAACTGATTAACTTTTGGAGTCAACCCAATTCAAGATGGCTGCCACAGCCAACTGATCTTAAGAAACACAAAAATGACAATACCTGAACCAGTTTTATGGGTTTCGTGCAGAAATTTAATGTGGTAGTAGCTGAGAGTCATTGACAACATGTACTGAGTGTGATGTCTCGCTAGTTCTCACAAAATGTTATTTTGGATTTGCCCAAAACAGCCACAACTCTAAACTGATCTTAGTTAAAAACTCTGGCATGAAAGGTAGCGGGTGATGTGCATTCCTTCAAGGAATTTTACTTCTTTACTCAAAGATATAATCATCCATCCATCCATTATCTTTTACCCGCTTCTTCCATTTTGGGTCACTGGGGTCGCTGGTGCCCATGTCCAGCAATCACTGTGCGATGGGCAGGGTACACCCTGGACAGGTTTCCAGTCCATCACAGATATATAATAATGATAATGATGATTATGATGATGATAAGAATAATAATTAACTTTTGGATTAAAAGGGCCAACAGTGTTGACCAAAGGGCTGTACGTACACTGATAAAAACACACAAAAGCAAACATAAAATCAATCAAAACTGTGAAATAAAATGAACCAGTAAATTATAAAAACTATAAAACGTCAATCTCATCTGTTGTTTAGACCTTTTGGACCAAGTTGGTGTCAGTAAAAGAATGGTCTGTATCATTCCAGAGACGTTTCCCAGACTTCTCCTACGTAATCCAGAACGGGCGTCTGACAGACTTTTTGGACTGCGTTATCATCAGGTTTGTACTTTGAGTTCATTTTCTTTATCCGTCTCTTTCTAAATGTTTAACATTCAGCTTTGTGTTTTATTTGTTCCCACTCTGCACTCAGTCATTTTCACCTTGACCACTGTGGCGCTCTGCCCTACATGAGTGAGATGGTGGGCTACGACGGACCCATCTACATGACCCATCCCACCAAGGCTATTTGTCCCATTTTACTGGAAGATTTCAGGAAGATCACTGTTGACAAGAAGGGGGAAACCAACTTCTTCACATCTCAAATGATTAAGGACTGCATGAAGAAAGTGATTCCTCTCAACCTCCACCAAACCGTGCAGGTGCTGCGCTGACGTTGTGGTTTTGACGCGCTCTATCGCGCATGTTTCTGCACATTCATTTGTGTGTTTTTTCCACACCAGCCGCTCGTCTTTTGATGGCGAATTAAGCTGTTTGTGTGCTGCTCCCGGCAGGTGGATGATGAGCTTGAGATCAAGGCGTACTATGCAGGCCATGTCCTGGGAGCTGCTATGGTGCACATCAAAGTGGGATCAGAGTCTGTGGTCTACACTGTGAGTGGAATCAAGTCTAAACTGTGTCACATTTGATGACAGGAACAACTGCATGCTCACTAAAGCATCTTGTTTTTTAGGGAGACTATAATATGACACCTGACAGACATTTAGGGTAAGTTGTGTTTGCTTTATTATTAATTAATTCATATATTTTTTGTTAGAACTGATTTTTTTTTTGTTATTTTGTTTGTTTGTTTTATTGTTTTTTTTACTGTTCTGAAAATGTTGGAATGTTGTTAAAAATGTAAAGTGAATGCAATGATTTGCAAATTTCATACACTCACATTTTATTCTGAATGGAACTTGATAAATATTTCCTGAAGAGACTGGCAGCTGGGGTTTTTTCATTCAACCTTTATTTATCCAGGTTAGTCTCATTGAGCCACGAGGACTCATTTACAAGAAACCTGATTTAGACAGACAACATATCAAGTACAGACAACATATCAAGTACAGACAACATATCAAGTACAGACAACATAGAACGTACAGACAGCATAGAAAGTACAGAAAACATAGAATGTACAGACAACATAGAAAGTACAGCAAAATTAGAAAGTACAGACAACGTATGAAGTACAGACAACGTATGAAGTACAGACAACGTATGAAGTACAGACAACGTATGAAGTACAGACAACGTATGAAGTACAGACAACGTATGAAGTACAGACGACATAGAAAGCACAGACAACAATAATTCAACAACAAGAGGGAATTGTTGTTCCGTTCTTGTTGGAGGATTGTAGCTGTTCAGAAGTTCTGATTGTGATACGTTTTTGCCTGGCTGGGAGCAGATGTTGTATTTTTAAAAAAAAAAAAAAAAAAAAAAAAAAAAATTTCAAGATGGCGCCAGTGTTTGAGGCTCGCTGTCTGCTGCTCCTACTATTTTTTCTGTTGTCTATTTTTATCCTCAATGCAAGTGTAAACGCTCGGATTGTCTATGATCGCCAAAAATTGCTAGACATTGGAGCTTCGATTGGAGCCTCGACTGGTAATATGTTATCGTGGAATCCTACTAGTGGAAAAACCCCGCCCTTGTTGCTGGGCATTCCAGCTTACCTGTGTCGCTTCTGGCCTCTACCTTTTCGACGGAAGCGCCGTGGCAAACGTAGCGGCTGGTTGGTGCGTTTGAAGGCTGCTTTGGGGCATCGATGTCCAGACCCATTCAATGTTCGTGGGCGGGTGCCGCGCCTCTACTTCCCGTTACGTGCGTTGGATCCTGTGGGTACCTGTTTAGTGCCTGTTGATGGAGGCCATGATGGACTGTTCCAGCCCCGTTTTCCCTGCACTCCTCGGCCCTATAGACGTGTGGTGAATCTTCACAACCTGCGACCTCTTCGCCGGGAATCTCGGACGTCAGATGGTGGCGGAGATCCGCCAATCTCTGCCAGGATCGGTCTGATAAATGCTAGGTCGCTAGCAAACAAAACCTTCGCCATTAAGGATTACTTTTCCTCTCAAAGCCTGGATTTCTTATTCATAACGGAATCTTGGACAACTGGTATGGGTGAGTCCAGCGTTTTTAATGAACTCTTGCCGCAAAACTGCTGCTATTTCAATTTTCCAAGGATGTCTGGACGAGGAGGAGGAATAGTAACGGTTTTTAAAAGCTGTTTTACTTGTAAACAGTTGCATCCAGTCCGTTTTGGTAGCTTTGAGCTTGGTCTCTTTGAACTTCTTAGCTCCCACACAGTGTTGTGTGCGGTGGTCTATCGGCCCCCTAAATATAACAAAAATTTTATAAGTGATTTTTCTGATTTCTTGGCTGATATCATGCCACGATATGACAGAGTTTTATTGGTTGGTGATTTTAATATTCGTATCTGTTGTCCTACTTCACCTATGGCTCAGTCGTTTCTTAATGTTATTGAGTCTTTTAATCTTGTGCAGTCTGTAACTGGTGCTACCCATGAGCATGGACACACTCTTGACTTGGTTTTATCTTATGGTCTACCAGTTTTTAATTTAGTGATTGGTGACCCATTATTTTCAGACCATATGCCTGTTTTATTTGAGATAAAGCAGTCTATTACTAAGGTTAAACCATGTGCACCAGTTCGGTTCTGTCGTGTTCTTAACCCTTCTACTGCTGTTCAGTTTTCTTCTGTTTTTAATAAGAACTGTACAATCCCAGAGACTGTCAGAAATAAAACCGAGGATATCAGCAACTGGTTTTATTCTACTAGCAAAGCAGCTCTGGATTCGGTGGCACCATTAAAAACTAGACTTGCAAAATCCAAACATGAACCCTGGTTAAATGACGACACTCGGGCTGCCAGGAGGAACTGTCGTAAAGCTGAACGAAAATGGCAAAAGGATAATTTGCAGGTGTCGCTGCAAATATTAAAGGAATGCTGGCGCTGTTATCAAAGGATTGTAAAAGACGCTAAAAGAAGATACCTGACAAATATAATTGTATCAAACAGTTGCAATCCAGCTATTTTATTTAAAACTATTAACTCTGTTCTAAATGCCCCACATGGTGCTTTTGTGGAGACTTCCCCAGCTGTTTGTGAAAGCTTTTTAAACTTTTTTGTTGAGAAAGTCACTTCTATTAGGGCTCAGATCATACCCATTGTGTATGACCCTATTGATACTGTGTCTTGCCCTGCTGTTTTTAATAGCTTTGAATGTGTGACTTTGCAATCCCTGCAGGAGGTCGTTAGTCACTTGAAGCCAACTGGTTCTCCAGATGATGCTATTCCACCTCGACTGTTCAATGAGGTTTTTCATACTATAGGTCTGTCGATCCTTGCTCTTGTTAATAGTAGCTTGTCCTCAGGTGTTGTTCCTGAAAATCTGAAACATGCAGTTGTCCAGCCTCTAATTAAGAAATCAAATTTGGATCCTGCTGTCCTAGCGAACTACAGACCAATTTCAAAATTGCCTTTCATCTCGAAAATTCTTGAGAAGGTAGTTTATAAGCAACTAATGTCCTATCTCATTGAACATAATATTTTAGAGATTTTATTTTGGGCAACTGATTCTGGTGACTGTGTTGTTTTGGTGTTGTTGGATTTATCAGCTGCTTTTGACACAGTTGATCACACGATTTTAATTGCTCGTCTGGAACAATATGTGGGCCTTGGTCAAACAGCTCTAGACTGGTTTAAGTCTTATTTGACAAAACGCACTTTTTGTGTCTGTCTTGATGGCAATAGATCATCCTCTGCTCCTCTATCATGTGGTGTTCCGCAGGGCTCAGTCTTGGGTCCTCTTTTGTTCTTATTGTATCTCCTTCCTCTTGGCTCTGTTTTTAGGAAATACGGGATTGCTTTTCATTGTTATGCTGATGACACGCAGATTTATTTACCTTTAAAGAAAGCAGATTCCACTTCTCTTCGGTCTCTGTTTCTATGTTTGGAGGATTTGAAGGCATGGATGGCCCAAAATTTCTTGAAATTAAATGAAGACAAGACAGAGGTAGTGATTTTTGGCAGCTCGAATGAAGACTCTCTGCCTGTTGACTGCTCTTTGGCTCAGTATGTCAGGCCAGTTGTTACAAATTTAGGGGTCAAGATGGATGCTGGTCTTAGGATGGAGTCTCAAATTAAAACAGTTGTAAAGTCAGGCTTTTTTCATTTGAGGCAGCTGGCTAAAGTAAAACCAATTCTTCCCAGACAGCATTTTGAAACAGCAATCCATGCATTTGTGACCACACGGCTAGATTACTGCAATGCACTTTACATAGGTATTAGTGATTCATGTATTTCCCAGCTTCAGAGGGTTCAGAATGCAGCTGCACGACTTTTAACAGGTACACGGAAATTTGACAGTATTTCTCCTGTTTTGGCCTCTTTACATTGGTTGCCGGTGCATTACCGGATTCATTTTAAAATACTTTTATTTGTTTTTAAAGCTTTAAATGGCCATGCCCCTTCATACCTGTCTGAGCTGCTACATTCTTACACACCCTCTCGTTCACTCAGGTCAGCTGACCAGTTGTTTCTGAAGGTCCCGAAGACAAAGCGTAAGCTTAGAGGGGACCGAGCTTTTTCTGTGATAGCTCCCAGGCTCTGGAATGACCTTCCATTGAACATAAGACAGGCCTCTTCAATTGAGGTTTTTAAGTCCCTTCTTAAAACTCATCTTTTTTCTTTGGCCTTTTAGCACAATCTGAGATGTTTTACCTTGTTTTATTGTGTTTGTATTTTATTTTATTATTTTATTCCTGTTTTAAATTTTACCCTTCCATTTTATCATTGTATTGTATTATATAATTGTGTAAAGCACTTTGGTCCTGTTGGGTGCATAAAGTGCTCTATAAATAAAGTTGGTATGGTATGGTATGGTAAAGCCTGAAAATGCTCTTTGTCATTGATGGAGCTTTTCCAGATGTGTAAACTGTCTGTGGTATAAGTACTAATGCACCACTGTGCTCTGACAGTGGGTTGGATTGTCTCTTTATGTGATGTCTGTGGTCTTTAAAAATAATTTCAAATTTTAGTTTTAACACAGTTGTTCTCCACGTTGTTCAGTCCATTTTAAATGGACTGTGCTCACAGACAGGGATTTGTGGAAATGTTCCTGAGTCCATGCAGTGATGTCCAGAACAGACCCAGACCTGGTTATAATGCAGTGGCCCCCCGAGGGCCCCAAGATCAATCTGTTATTGACTTCCAGCCTTGTCCTGTGAGCTCAGAGGTTTCTACAGAATCTTGAATTAATTTGATGATATTATGAACTTTAGATGATTCAAAGTCTTTTCAATTTGCTACTGAGGAACATTATTTTGAAATTCTTCCATTATTTTTAGCCACAGTCTTTGGCAGACTGGTGAACCTCTGCCCATCTTTACATCTAAGAGATCCAGCCTCTATAAAATTCTCTTTTTATACCCAGTAATTTATACACATTGACCTGTTGCCGATTGCTCCTACAGCTGTTTTTTATTGTTACTTCTTATTTTTACAGCCTCTTTTTGCCTCTGTTCTCTGTATTGCTGAAATCAAATAAAAAATTATTCAAAAATCTTATTTTATCCTTAGAAAATGTAAACTGTCAATCTAAACATTTGGTATGCTTACTATATTTTATTGTAAATAAAATATAGGTTTATGACATTTGCAAATCATTGCATTCTATTTTTATTTACACAAAAACCCAACT